GAGGGACTGAGGGGGCCCCCTGGTGGTGAGCTGGCGGCAGCACGGAGACGGAGGGCGACAACAATAGTAACTGTCACAGTCGTTCATGTCTTCCACTGACTGCTGCTAACAACGTCAATCTGAAGTGCTCCAAGCAGAAATTAACCATTTAACGAAGGGGGTTCAGGGCAAATATGGATGTGTGTTTTTTGGTCTGGGAGTGGGAACATTAAATTTTTACTGCTAAAAACAATCTTCGAAAATATAATATGAATAATTTTATTATTGACAGGACCCCAATTTTTTTTAATTTTATTTCTATGAACAATAAATATATTGTGGAGGCCCTCCTGTTGGTCAGGGCCCCTAGAATTGTCATCACTTTACCCTCTATACTGCGCCCCTGGGAACAAGATGCGCTAAATTATAAGACAGTTTAATGAAGCTTCAAGGCAGATCACTTCCTTCAAGGAATTTTGATAATCGAGGTACTCAAATCATTCAAGGAATCTAATGAAGAATATATTTAATACAAGGTTAAAAGTTGTTTTCAAAAGGCACATTTAATGATAAATGAGCCTCATCAGAACCTGTATTGTAATTTATTGAATAGTACTCTAAATGTTGATATGAGTTGGAGATTTATACAGCATGGCATTAATATAACATTATGTGATTATTTAATGGAAAATGAATGGCATCTTCCTGGTGTTTTGCAAATAGCAGCAGAAGTAACTGTTATTACTGCTGTTATTAAGAGAAAGTAGCAGTGCACACATTGCAGTTTTCAGGCTGATCACCAATATTTAAGAAGCCTGACTGATTTTGTCTTACACTGACTTATTTCTATACTACTTGTAGCAGAAAAGTTTCAAAGTTGGCAACAGTAAGACGACTATTGTTAAAAGCATCTCTCTCTCTCAGTGCCTTGTGGTGGTAGAAAAGATTGGTGCACAAGATTAGTTTCACATGTAACTATCAACAGATTGTTGATCATCCTAAATTGAAGAAATCGGGGCCAATCAATCTGAACACACCTAAAAATTTGACCCTTCCTCCTTCAAAATTAAAGTCCATCACGTTGGGCATTTATGGCAAAGGATTCTGTGCTGCAAGCTGGCCTCCTTCAGTCACTACTGTTAGTAGACAATATATCAAACACTTTACATTAGAGCAGATCAGATGCATTTTGTGTGGTCAGCTGTTTGAGGATGGTGGAAGTATTTCATACATTCATTGTGATTAAAGCTCTGCACATGATAGAAGTTGGACCTAGTATTGTCTTTTCTGTAAAATGTACACCATACTTTGGAGCGCTTCTGACACAATGGCACGGGGTTTCCCCTAGAAAACTTGCTAAGCCCGGTGGTCAGGGCGCCAGAGCAGTCCCACCGTGTTGAGATGTTAAGTTGACAGGAATGATAAAGTATTACTGGGTAATTATATGTTACTGGAAGACACATATAAAAACCCACAGTTCTCCTACTGTGTTGGTTGTGTTGGACCTCACTGTTGACCAGGACATTTTACTGAATCGACTGGAGAGTTGGGTCGGACTCTTCCGTCCAGTGCTCAACTGGTTTGAATCTTACATAAAGAACAGGGATGTCTTTGTTTCAGTCGGAAACTTGTCATCAGAGAGGTCAAAGGTCACATGTGGGGTACCCCAAGGCTCAATCCTAGGACCCCTTCTTTTCAATATTTATATGCTCCCACTGGCTCAGGTTATAACAGGAAATAATATTAGCTACCATAACTACGTGGATGATACACGTGTAGTGTATCATCTATGTTACAATGTCACACTTTCTCCAGCTGAACAGAAACTAAACTGAAGTTATCTTTGCCCCTAAAGAGGAGCGATCTAGAGTCGTATATCTAAAGTCATAAATCTAGAGCTATAGATCTAGAATCAATGCACAGCTTCAGTTATTATAACTGAAAACCAGCGATCAGCCCGAAACCTGGGAGTAGTGATGGACTCTGACCTGAACCTTCAGAGCCACATTAAGACAGTCACAAAATCGGCCTTCTATCACCTGAAGAACATCTCCAGGATTAGAGGACTGATGTCTCAGTGAGATCTAGAGAAACTCATCCATGCGTTTATCTTTAGCCGCATTGATTACTGCAACAGCGTCTTCACAGGTTTGTCCAATAAATCATTCAAACAGCTGCAGCTGATCCAGAAGCTGCTGCTGCTGTTCTGACTAAAACCAGGAAGATGGAGACATAACACCAGTTTTAAAGTCCCTACACTGGCTCCCTGTAGCTCAGAGGATAGACTTTAAAATACTGTTGTTAGTTCATAAAATTTGATTTGTTGACAATACTTAAACAGGAAAATAGCCTGAAAAACAACATATACTTTTTTGCACTTCTGTTAAATCCCAATTAAGGCTGTAGTAAGTAACTTATAAAAAGTATTTTTTGCATATTTGTTGAAACTGTCACTATGTTGTGACAGTCTGTGTCAATCACATCTTTGTGCGGCGCTGCTCATCCCTCCTCCTATAGCGCTTTTGCTCTCTGGTACTGCTGCAGCTTTCGGCTGTCAGCAGGTTCTGTTGTGAATGCTATATCAGTTAGCATAAACTTTTATCAATTTTTAGCACAGACAGAACCACACACTGGGCAGTGTGTTTGAGATGCCACACATAATTTATCTTTATCTTTTTATTCAACAAGATAAAGGTAGAGTTTGCATGTCCTCCCTGTGCATACATTGTTTTTATTTTTATAGTATACAAAACTTACATGTGAGGTTACTTGGTCTCCCTAAAATAGACCTTAGGCTTGATTGTGTGTGTGAATAATTGTTTTTCCTGTTTCTGTGTTGCCCTGTCATTGACTAGCAACCTGTATATGGTGTACTTGGTAACCAACGACTGTTGGAATAGGAGTCATAGATTTATAGGTGGTTTTCCATGTGATTTTCACTTGCATCACTTTGGCTTTGGCTCATATGTTTCACTTTTTGTTTAGATTGGCAGACTGCAGTTTGTCTGAGACCAGTTGTGATTCTCTGGTCTCGTCTATGAAGTCCAGCCCCTCCTATCTGACAGAATTGGATATAAGCAAGAACAAATTAACTGACGATGTTGTGAAGAAGCTTTGCAATTTCCTGAAGAACACTACCTACAAGCTGAAGACTCTTAGGTAAGACACACTTTTCTGGTTTTATGCTTAAAATAAGTTGATGCAAATTAGACCTTACTCTCAAATATTTTAACCACCCATCAATATTTTTGATATCTTTAGAATAAAAAAAATAAAATAATCATGTTTTATTTTTATGTAGACTGTGGGGCTGCAGTTTGTCAGAGCGCAGCTGTACTCTGCTCGGTTCAGCTCTAAAGTCGAACCCATCACACCTGACAGAACTGGATCTGAGTCAGAACAAAGACCTGGGAAACGCTGGAGCGGATGAGCTGTTTGGCTTTCTAAAGAGTCCACTCTGTAAACTAAGCATATTAAAGTAAGACACCATTCTATGAATTTGCTCTGATATTAATATGAGGTGCGGTACAGTTAACACTAACCTGCTGACACATGGGCAATGATATTTTTATTGACACATAGGATCTTCACTGTAGTTCAGTTTGTTTTCCTACTTAACATTTCATTGCTATACAGGTTTATTTTCACATGGGTTAATTCTAATAAGGTTGATTGGCAGTTTTGGTGTACAAGGTAGCCTTTTCTGCTGATGAAATTAAAAAAGTACTACTAAAATTGCTTAACACAACTAATACCAAAATGTTTTTTCCATTTTCTGAGTAGCACTTGTTGACTCCTGTTTTTATGTTATTCAATTTCCTTAATGGATGACAAGTTTAGTATATGGCCTGATTTTATGTTATGATTTCATTTAAACATGATTTAAAGGCAGAAACCACCTTCTTACACCGTTCCAGACAAAACTTAAGTCCAATCCTCATGGGAAAATGTTTCCACCTTACCTGTATTCTTGTTTTTGTGTTTTGTAGCTGTCCTGTTTTGTTTTAGGTTTTGAAACATTGAGCATGGATAATGGCATTAATCTCTTTTTCTTACCAGAATCATAACTCTTAGTCCTTGACACTAAAAACATGGTATTGAAAATGAAAGGTTGTTAGATTGTCTGTAGGTTTTTTGACTACTTGGGTTTACTAGTCCAGGAACTCAGCTGTCTTAAAAATAAGCGCTAGGGCTTTAATACCTGGATAACCACTTTACTACTAACATTACACTAAAAGAGAGGTGAGACCAAACAATTGTATTAATTTAAAACAGAATGAAATAGATTGGTATAACTGAAGTTGAAATGTTTAAAGCCAAATGTATGAGCATAAAACTGTAAAACACTTCTGGCTACAGATGGGATTAATGTGTGGTGCTCATTCAGTAAAACAATAGGATGTCATAAAATGCATTTACAGGGTCATGAACAATAACATATAACATATTGCAAAAACCCTGGGGAGCAACTCTAGGACACGTTATGTCCAGCATTCTTTCATTTACATGCGTTGGCCGCAGTCTGATTTTTATTTTATTTTTTTAAAGGTCATTCATACCAGTAATTTTATGGGACCAAAGTCAAACTTCTGTTTCACCAATTTATGACTTCAAAGTGACCTGTATGTCCAGAAGGACGTAGACGTCCCACAGCAGTGCAGTTTATGGAAATAATTGATCCAGTGTCTTTGGATCAATTTTAAAGTTATTCAATTTTACTGTTGCTAAATATTCCATTCCTGCATTGTACTCTGGAGAAAGTATGCAACTGCACAACAGTGTGGAGAATTCTCTTCTTTTTTAGGATGTAACCTGACAGTAAATGTTATCTCCTTGTCAAGTATAGACCATTTGGTTGGGACCCATAAATGGACCTGGGCCAGGGATTTTATACCCAATGGGTCGTTACTGGTTTAAGTGGGGTAACGTGATGGTGATAAGTGGTTATATGTTTCTTCAAAACCTTTATCTTATGGACCAAAACCAATAACAAAAACAGGTGAATAGTCATTAAGGCTATGATAATCAGCTGTGAGTTTCCTTTACATCTGGAAAAAGCTCAAATTTACTAATAAGATGAAATCAAAGACAAATTTACCATTTTAAAACTTCCCAAACTGGTATTTAAAGCAGTTTCAGAAGTTTTAATAGTGGTTTCCATATTACTTCAACTAATATAATTTGCAAAAAGCCAAAGTATTTTTTTCAGAAATGGGTGATTTTCTCTTGAATTGCTCTTGCAGTCTCAGCATTTATATTGATGGAGCTGCAAGAGATTGACTGTAGTCAGCAGCCCTTAATTAAAGGAGCACCATGTTGTTATTGATGACTTTGCATTTGAAATGCCTTGTTGCTGAAAGGTGCTATACAGTACAGATACAATTTAATTTAAAAAAATATTTTTACATGCTTTTTCTTAGTGTTTTAACCTGCACCCAGTTGACTTTACCTCAGATATTTTAATATTTTTCTTTAGATTGAGGAGCTGCAGTTTGTCAGAGATCAGCTGTTCTTCTCTGGCCTCAGCTCTGAAGTCCAACCAACATCTGACTGAACTGGACCTGAGTGACAACAAAGACCTGAGAGATTCTGGAGTGAAGGAGCTCTGTGGTTTTCTACAAATGTCTGTCTGCAAACTACAGACATTGAAGTAAGAAACTATGCAGGATTTCTTCTAGTGTATTTATAAGCCTAACAGGGGGCTGGGCTTTATTTGCCCCCAACCAGCCAAATCACTGCCTGTTTTAGGAAAAAAAAGAAAAAGTTCATAATAGTTTTTTAATACACCAAGCCTGCCTGCATGTGTCTTTGCTGCACTGAGCATTTCATGGGAAGAGCAGAATTATTCCTTAAAGACGAGGTTCATAGTTGATGCATTGAACAAGGCACCCATGACACCGCTGGTACCTCTGCACGTTGGCCTCGCCTAGATGGCTGCTGCATCTCTCAAGTTTACCTCGGGCGGTTTGCACCCTTCCTTTCACTGAACCTGGACAATTTGGAAGGTGTTTCTGGAGAAAAGTTTCACCAGTATTGGGGTTTACATAAATGAGTGATGATTGCAAATTGCTGAGAAAACAAAAATATACTCACCAATATATTAGATTTTTAAACAAACAGCTAAATTCAAATTCACACTTTTACAAAGTAACCTTGCCAGCTCCTTAAAATCTGAACTTTAAATACTAAACAAAAAAAAGTTACATCTCTCTTTTCGGTTATAATACAATATTTAGTAAAACTTGTTCATGGACACACCGTCTGCTGTCAGAGAGCCGCTCAGTGCAGAGGATCATAATTATGAGTTTAATTAGGGGAGTGACAGGAACAAGATCGTTAAGTTTTGTAACGAGTGAATTAGCATCGCTGCTAGCAGCTCGTTTCTCTGAAGAGCTGAAAGGAATAAAGAGAAAAGCAGAGAAGCAGGTCAGAGTCTGAGCTGCTGTTAGCGCTGACGGTGTAAAACACCAGAACTACATAATATTAGCTCGGTGTGATGTGAATTTTATTTTTCGTTTGAATTTAAAAAATAATAAAGTTCATGATCTGAGTCTCTATCATTATGTTTGGGGCAGCAATACTTTTTCTATAAGACAAAATAAACTATCTGGGTTCATTTAGTCCATCAGAACCAGAACCTTGAGGTTCTCCGTTGCTGACCGCAGCTGCTGCGCTCCAGACCGTAATACGGAGAATCTCCCACTGGACCAGAACCGAACCGAATCACACATTAACCCGTTATACAGATTTCCCTATGTTCCTTTTCCTATGTTGTTTTTCATTAGCT